TGTGTCCCGACCCGTATATTGCTCAGGTAACTGATTTTTGTGAGTACCCGATTTTTTTATCATTTTCAAATTATTAAATTTTTTTACAAAATAAAATTATATTATTAAAAAAATATTATATTAATTATTAAACATACAACTAATTGGTGGGTGAGTTTTTTTTAAAATTTTATTAGTTTAATTTAATATATAAAATTATTAATAATTAAACATGTAATATTATAATATAAAAAATAAATGTAATAGGATATAAAGGTAACCGGTACCTGAAAAATGTAATTTTGTGACTCGGGCCCGACCCAAAAAATGTCGGAATTTTTAGTTCGGGTCGACGAGTTGAGTCAACCGAGTCGGTATTTTTGAACACTCCTAATAAGGGATTATTGTTATTCCTTGAGATCTCGAGTTCGAGCACAAAAAATGTAAGGGGTGTGAGTGTTCAATATCAAATGGTTGAGAGTTATCTTTGAACATATATTGCTTTGTACTTACCAGATTAATTGAATTTTTTTTTAATTTTTTTCAAGTAGAATAAAATTTATGAAATTTAAGTCGATTCAAATCATTCAAGTTTCTTTTTAAATTTAATTATATTTTTTAAATCTTACGTACATTTTGGTTTTAATTTAAAAAAATTATCTAATCATATACGATATACATGCATATTTTTAATATTTTTTCACATGGGTAAGTAAAATTTATAATTTTATTTAATAAAATAAATAACATCTAAAATTTTAAAATACACTTATAACTTTTGTTTTAAATAAATTGTTTTTTTATAAATTATCGAAGAATATAAAGGAGTGAAAGAAATTGATGAAAATAAAAAAAATTACAAAAAATTCTAAATGATCAAATTAAATATAATAATACTAAATAAAAAATTCAATTTTTTTTGTTAATAATAGAAATTGAAGTTATAACTATTTTTATAGTCACTGACGGATGCAAAGCATGTCAGGGCGAATATATGTCTACCTTGAAATTTAAATTTCTTTATATTAACAGTTCATTTTATTAGTGGTGTTAATCCTGAAATTTTATTTGTATCCAATACATACGAAAAGTTTCAATAATTAATATTTGTGTGGCCACACTTTAAAATATTTATGGATTTGCCACTATTTATAGTGTTAGTAAAATATTTGGTTTAATTTAATAAAGATAGATTTAAAATGTATGAGTAATTAAAGAAATTATATAAAATTATAGATTAATTATAAAAATTATTTTTTAAAATAAGAATTGAAATTATATAAATATTCTATATAATTTAGTGGTGTATAGTTTAAATTTTAATTAAATTTAAAGAATGAAGGGAAATAAAATTAAATTAGAATAATCAGATTGATTGTTCGGATTTTCGAACCGGTAAAAGTAGGGTTAATGGCTCTACCAATCATCCCTTGGGAAGCTCACAAAACAAGCTTTAGGGCAATTAAGAACCCAACAAATCAATGACAAATAAAATAGGTACTACATAAGATACCATTGAATTTTAGGCATCGTATTATTTATATCACTAAACTTTTAATTTTGGTTTTGATCCGTCTATTAAGGATTTAACGGTCTAGTGATATAATTGAAATGAAATCAAAGTTTAATACTATAATTGATAAAACTAAAAGTTTAGTAATATTGGCTGAAAGCTACTGACGTGGTTGACATTATCAATGTAACATCTCACCAAAACGATATGGTTTTGATCCGTCTATTAACTATTTAAAGGTCTAGTGATATAATGAAATGAAATCAAAGTTTAATACTATAATTGATAAAACTACAAGTTTAGTGATATAAACAATAATACTAAATTCGATGATATGATTGGTTTATCCAATAAAATAAAAGAGAAGGAGAGGTTTGGAATAGTGTAATAGTAAAGGCTAGTGGGTTGAAATTTGGTGTTCGACACTCACAGTTTGTCATTGTCTGCCCTATCTAAAAAACGAGGCGCCACCACTAAACAAATCATATGGCAAAATGGCCTTTATTGATCCATCTGAGACATTGACTACTATTTCAATCACATCTGATTCCAGCCACCACCCGACTATGGTTACAAGAGTATGGCTCTCCGGCCACGTCGCCAACCGCCTCTGACAAATGCCCTATACGGCCAAGACAGCCGTTGGCCTACCCAATAGCTGACGGGTTGGGGACAACCCCACCTACCCACCCACCACCCAACAGAGCGGAGGCCGATCTCTCAACACTCCACCGCCTTTGTGCCTTTGTGTCTATGCCTTGTAATCCCCAACTGTACTTCACATTAATCTTCACGTCTTAACTTAGCTCATTCACTTTGTTTGTGGTTACAAAAAGTCTAGATTAAGGGTGGTCCCTAGTTCAAGGTCATGTATACTTAAGATTTAATTGATACTTATATATAGCCCACCAACTCAAATATATGATTTCCAACTGCTTACGTCAATACTCATTGACCTTTATTTATGGTTCATTCCATTTTGTTTATCATTACTATGTCATTTTTCATACTATATTCATTTAAAAAGAATAATATTTCGAAATTATTCTCGAAAACATAATAACAAGTAATAATACAATTTAATAGATCTATAGATCATGGAGTAAATAATTTATTGATTATCGGAGGCGGATGCACTAAACTCTCATAGGGGTCAACTGCATCCCGTTATTTAAGAAATATTAAATTTAATTAAACCTTTCACCTGTTAAACCATAGAAATGTTTTATTGAAAAAAACTATCATAAATCATCACCAACTTACTATATATCAATAATCATAACAACGTAATCTAATATATATATATATATATATATATATTAAAGTCTACTATTTATAAAAAACGATAATGTTCATAATTACTTTTTTTTTTTGGAAAAAAATATGCAAACATCATAGAACATATTATTGGAAAAAAAACCGTCATCAATCCTAAACATTACAAAAATTCTATTATGGAATAAGAGAAATAGAATAGGATTCGAGAGAAGTAGAGAATTTAGAGAAGAGAATAGTCATTGGCAGATCTGACTCTGACTGGACCGGGTACACGGGTGACTCCAATTCAGAGGTAAGTACCTCATGCCCCTTTCTTGTGTTTCAATCCCTAACCCTTGACTTCTGGTTTCCCCAATTCTTTCTCGTCCACGCTCATCTCTTCTGACTGTGATATTCATAGTTTTTTTTTATCCTTTTCCTTAATCCGCAATTCTTTGATCATCGTTAAACTTTCGCTGATTTGTCATAAAAATCCAGCTAATATTTGCCTCACGTGCTTCTAGTAGCTTACTAGTCCTACGTGATTTTAAAAAGTGTAAAAGATTGGGGGATGAATTTGTCAATATCAAAGAAAGAGTTTTATTGTAATGTTCGTGAGTTTGATTTGATTTGACTTCCTATATAATTAAAATTTATATTAATATTACAAATTTTGAATCTATAGTTTTTGTCTACATATTGCGTTATATAATTTTAATATTATAGCATGAATCAACTTATCTCGGTGGTTAAAGGAATCAACTTATCTGTATTGTTTTCGGAAATGACAAATTTATGTAGTAACATGTTTCTTTCTGATTGTAGTATGCCTCCAGAATCTCATTGGAGGTATGGCATGTGGTTGCACCCGCTTGCTGAGGTAGCTTTGGGGTTGATCCTTCTATAAAGTAATTTGATGAATGTTGTGTTTTTATGGCTTGTTTGGTAACATATTATGACCGTGAGGAAGAGTGGCAGAAGGGAAGGATGTATGACTCCTTACTTGAACAATGCCGGGGATTAAATGGATCGAGTGAACTTTGTCAAAAACTAAATTTCTCCACCTATATTTTTATACTTTACTAGAAATTTGGAGACACTGGGGAGTGTTCTAGAATATAACAAAATGTTCTAGAATAAATTAGAAAATTCTAGAGCCATATGGAAGGTTCTAGAATACTCAAGAAGGTCTTAGAATACTTTAGAATATTCTAGAACACCCTAGAATGTCCTAGAATATTATAGAAGAGTCTGGAACATCAAAGAAGGTTATGATTTTTAGAATACTGAAAGATTCTAGAAGTACATAGAGAATTCTCCAGATCAAGATTACACAAATTTATATAGAAAATTCTTGATGTAAAATGTAGACCGTAGGATCAAATTAATCTCTATCGTCCATTGAAAAGGTGAAAGGCTGTATAATGGAGCCTTGGCCATTTGCTAAAGGCATCCATCCATTAAAGCAAACTTTCTTAGTCATTCTCTAAAGCTAATAAAGCTTTCATTCAAGCATTCAACACCAAGATCTTTGAAAGATTTAGGCCGACTTAACCACTAAAAAGGAAGTGTATAACTGTTCTCAAATAAGCCCATGACCACTCTCTTGAAAGAAAACTTTTTTTCTTTTTTCCCCCCACGTGTGTGTAGGGTGGTCGTAAGGTAAGATTAATTAAATTTTTGGTCCATTCAATTTCTGAATATAAGATATTGTTGTTGCAGAGTCCCTCAACCACTGGGCTGAAGAGTCTTATGGAATTATTCTTCGTATTGAAGAAGCTCTCGGAGTAGTTTGTTAGGTAATTGGTCTTCAATGGAAGTGTGACGGGGTGGAAGTCTAATCAATGACAACAATGGTAGTAGATTTAGGGTTTTCAAAATTTGGGGAGGTTTTTAAGATTTTTGAAAACTCTGGGTTTAAAAATATATATTTTTAAGTTTTTTTTTGGTCAAAATAAAAATTTCAAAATTATCCGAGGACAACATGTGTCAATTAGTGGAAGAAATTAACGCCGTTTACGGCCTGGATACCTAAAGTGATAATATTTATAACGTAAAGCACCGAGATCATTTAAAAAAAATAGTTTAGAGACCTATTTATGAAAATTACTATAATTTGAACCCTTATTTCAAAATTAAGCAAACAAAAAAAATCTTATGGGTCCACAAAGATAGCCAATAACGAGCCCTTTCATTTATTTATTTCTAAAGAAAATATTATTCAACCTCTCGTCCTCTCCTTTTAAAAGGCTGTTATTTTTAAATATTTTTCTCTCTATTTGCTTTGTTTCAGCGACTACCAATCAAAAACATTAGCCCAGGACAGGAGGATCTCTCAGCAACCTTTTCTCTCATTTTTTCTCCAATTAGCTCTGTAATTTTCTATCTTTTTTTTTTTCTCTTTTACGTATTTTTATTTGCTTTTCGTGCTAGCTTGGTTGAGGAAGACGATCTAGCTTTGATTTGATTTTCCTTTTTTGTTTTGTTTTAGGGTTTAGGTGATGGCTTCAAAGCGGATCTTGAAGGAGCTCAAGGATCTACAGAAAGATCCTCCTACCTCCTGCAGCGCAGGTTCAATTCCTTCCTGTTTTCTCTCTTTCTATCTTCGATTTCGTTATGTCTTGTTACCACGCCTTTGGTTTCTTCTTTTCTTTGTAATCATGACATGAGATAGTTGTTTCTGTATGTGATGGATCTATACTTGTTAAGTTATTATTAGAATATGATTTTGACCGTGATGATTTCATTGAGTCAAACTGCAATATATATACATAATTACATATACATATGCTTATTCTAAAGTTTGAGGTTCACATCATTGGATTCTATTTGACTCTATATTATTAAATGATTTTCTCTCTTTTTTTCCTGTCTTATTATTTGCTGTTCATATCCATGTTCGTTAAGTTATAAATATCATTGGTGAATTTGTGAGGAAATGATCATGCTTTGCTGAAGATTCTTTTAAGAGATCATTTTTGCATCTTTGTTTCAATTAAATATTACTTGCAGATTTGGTTGCTCTATCTAACTAATGTTTTACTTCATTTTATGGAATAAGGCCCTGTTGCTGAAGACATGTTTCATTGGCAAGCGACTATTATGGGTCCTCCTGACAGTCCATATGCCGGTGGAGTGTTTCTAGTCACCATTCATTTCCCACCGGACTATCCTTTTAAACCACCAAAGGCACTTCATCTTATTCCTTAACCTATTAGTTTTCGTTATTTCCCGGTTCACTGTGTGTTGCGAATGTGCACTTTTCTTGACTATCTATCCATATGCAACTGTTTTTTTCTTTTTAGAAACATCAGATATGCCATTATAAATATATTGGGGGAAAATGCATAGCACTTCATAGACTGCATGTTAAATTTTTTCGTCAAGCTGTTTTCTTAATAACCATCTCTTGAAATGTAGCTGGCACAAATGTTTTCTCCTCTGAAATCCAATGCTAGTTTTATTGCGGTCAATGTTCCTACTTGCCTCCATCTGCATTTCGGCATTTGGAGGGATATGTATTTAGCATAAATGTTTAAAGCCTTCATGTTATTTTGCCAGTTCCTTACTGTAAATGGTCTGTGACCATGATGTCTTTACAGGGTTAGTGGCTTGTGCAAACATTTCTTGGCACTGAAATGAGTAAATACTAATTCTACTTGATAGTTTATTCCATAGTCACATGGATAGCGGTACGCTCCGGTACAGGAACGTGGAACGGGATCGCAATTCGCTAGGTCCCTAAAATTCGGTACGAGGGGGTAGACTCATTTCGGATCGCTCCGGTACGATGTACCATATAAATTTGTACGATGTACCAGTTTCTTAGGTTGCTATTTTTCTACATCAAATTTTATAAGTAACTTCAAGACTTCAAATATCTTAGAGTAACTTCAATACTATAGATTTCATTCAGTAACTTCAATACTTCAAAGTTCAAAACAAATTTAACACTTCAAAAGTCAAAAGACTCAAAACAAATTACATAAACTCATAGTCATGAATAAACTTAAAACTTTGAAAGACATGATAAAACTAATAAAATTACTCCACCCTTTGTTTTTTTCCTTTGCCATTATCGTTGTCTTCATCCTCCTCCAGATCTTCCCACACCATATCTTCTATCCTTGAGCTTTCCAAGTTTGTAGATTCGGGATCCATATCCCACTTCTTGTGTGGTCCTTTTTTATATGCTTCAGAAAACCTTGAACTCAAGCGGATATTAGAATGAACTTTATTCTGTAAATGCTAATTTTTTTTTCTAGCTTTTGGTAGAGTATATTGTTGGCATGTGTGCATGCACAGTGGTGCATGCATATTCTTGCTGGGATTCTAATGGTTTAGTTTATATGTGAGGCTATTATTAGGTGGTTTTCAGTGCCAAAATTTACTTGATCTATTGTTATTTTTACTTTTGTAAACAGCCTCAGGTAAGCCTTCTCTGTTACCTGCATATAGGCACTTCATTATGTGGTTCCTCACGTTTACTGTATACTTTTTTTTTGTTTAAAAAAAGTTGTTGTAAATGGACACCTCGCGAATATATTATACTTTTCATGTGATGATGATATTCATATTTTTTAAGATAGAATGACGACATGACATCAAATTTTCTTTTAGAGATATAATTGTAACCAATCAATGATCGCTTATCAATACTCACCTAGGTTTGCTAATTCTAGTAACTACATGATAAATCACATGGTGAAGTTGTTTCACGCTTTATTTTCTCCACTGCAATGGTCTTATAACTTACCCGTTTAGTAGCTGATTCATTGCCAGCAAGTTTCTTGTGTAGTTTTCTTCTGTTATCCTTTCTATGCTTCCTGTATTTTTCTCTCTCTTAAATTCCTTTTCCTTTGAATCAGGTTGCATTCAGGACAAAGGTCTTTCACCCTAATATTAACAGCAATGGTAGCATTTGCCTCGATATTTTGAAGGAGCAATGGAGCCCTGCCCTCACCATATCCAAGGTTATTGTTCAACATGCCTTGCAGTTTATATATCTTTTATTTTGAATGATAGATTTCACTGTTATGTCATCTATCAACCGTTTGTCATAAAACCCTTACAAAAATGAATTGGTTTTTAAAACGAAAGATTATAGTAAGCCTTTAAAATGTAGCATTTCATCAACTGGCCAAGTAGTTTGCTTTGCGTAATGGGTCATTGCTATTTTGTGTATGGTCACCGTGGTTTATACATATATATTCTATCATGTAAATTTTGATTGCCATGGTTTACTGGCATTTAAGCGTGGGGCTGTTTCTTATACGTAATTTGATTTTAGGTATTGCTCTCAATCTGCTCACTCTTGACGGATCCAAACCCTGATGATCCCTTGGTGCCGGAGATCGCCCACATGTACAAGACCGATAGGAGCAAGTACGAGACGACTGCTCGGAGCTGGACCCAGAAGTATGCTATGGGTTAGTGTGCTAATGTGTATGCAATAGGAAGGCTATTGTTCCATGTTGCTTTGAATTGATATGTATGAATCAGTGAATCAGTATGTGTGATCTTGTCTCTCCACCTTATGTACCGAACCAAGCCCCCCTTAAAACACATTTGCTGCTTTATTTGTTTGTATGGAAATTATCTTTAAAACTTTAAATCCCTGCTCTCCTATATACTTCATGTTTTTGATCGTCGGCCCCTTTTTTATTTTCCGTCCGGTAAAAAGCTGATCGGGTTCAGCTGCTGTAACTCCGGCTTCAATTCCATGTGTTACAGTTTATTGCAACTAGTAAAGTGTTGTTTGGTATTTGAATTTTAATTCAATGTGCAAAGTTTTACGCATAAATTTTTTGATTTTATTGCAATCGTATATACATTAGATTTTAAATTTTATTTCAACTGTGCATGTTTATAAAATGGTAAACATATAGAGGACGGTGTCATGCAAATAAAGATTAGTGGTCGTGAACACTGAACTAAAATTTAAAATTTTGCTTCTTACCTAGAATTAGGGTCCATGTATATTACATAACGCAATAAACCAAAGTTCATGAAGTGGATTCTGGTTAGCGTAGTCTTTTAAGTAGGCATTTAGTTAGTTGATAAGAATTTTGATATGAAACAATGATGATAGACATACGATTCAAGATGATCATTGAATTTAGTAACATATCTTTTGAATTTTGTCTTAATTCAAGATAAAAGAGAATTTATCAAGTATCAAAGAGAGTGTTTGTATCTATAGAAGTCACGAGTTTGTACAATTACGTACGTAACATATAATGAATGATTAAGAAAGATTATGATCATATATATTACCTTTTTGTTAAGACAATTATGAAGGTGTTCATTATGCTCAATCATATAATGCAGTCGTTGGTGCTCGAACCAGAACCTCTAAAAGTAATAATCATTCCTTTAACCAATGATATAATTTAGTTCATGCTATTGGTTCACAATTAAATATATTTAATTTATCACTTTAAAAATGGAGAGGACTAAAATATTCCGTTTCTTAAAAGAAACTAATTTACTTGATATCGAATTAGATTTACTTTTAATCTAGGCCGGTTTGAATTACAAGGCCCAATCTTGATAGGGCCGGTTACTTGGAGAGGTAAGGTGCAGGCTGTTTTTGGAGTACAGCAGAAATATAAAACAGGAGAGAAAAAGAAAAGAAGAGGGAAAAGATCCTGCACAGAGAGGAAAACAGCCCTGCTTCGACATTACCTCCAGGTAAGCAGCCTTTTATTTTCCTTCTTTCTCAAGCTTTTTAGATGTTTAGTATTTGCTTCTTCTTCGCAATCATCCAATTTGCATCTCCTTCGTGGATTCGTCGTGACCTAGGTTTTGAGATCACGGCTTTTTTCCTTTCCTCTTTCGTTCTCTTCCCCCGGAAGCTTTTCTGAACGAGAGATGACATGTTCTAAGTGCTGAATTTATAAAAATTATATATCGGTTACAAAATTCCTCTTTGTTTCGCGATTAAAATATCTTCTTTTTTAATTTGCGTAGTTTCTCTGTTATATATATATATATATATATGCTTTGCTCAAGTTCTAGATTGAGTTGAAATTTGTGGTTCGAAGCTTGAGTTGAGTTTGATAGGATTTTGCTTCCGGAGATTGAGCTCGACTTGAGGTTGAAACATGATTCAAGTTCAATTGAGATCGAATTTTCGAAAAAGAAAAGAAAAGAAAATAGTTTTGAGATGCCCACGCTAGTGTACAATACAGTTACTAAGTTATATATATATGTTATGCAGGTATCTCATTGCATATTCGACTAAAGTTCGTGGACCGAACTTGACATTAGTAATACACATTCACTCAGATTCAGTAATCAGCAGTTAGTCATGGCATCCAAAGATGCAGATCCGTCACTCGGGTACTTGACTCGTAAAGACACAGAGGTCAAACTTCCTCGACCTACTCGTGTCAAAAACAAAACTCCGGCTCCCATTCAGATTACCGCTGAACAAATTCTCCGAGAAGCTCGGGAACGGCAGGAGGCAGAAATCCGGCCGCCTAAACAAAAGATTACTGACCCAACTGAACTAGGTGACTATCGCCTCCGCAAACGCAAGGAATTTGAAGACCTAATCCGTCGTGTTCGGTGGAATACCAGCGTTTGGATCAAATACGCCCAATGGGAAGAGTCCCAAAAGGACTTCAATCGAGCACGGAGCGTTTGGGAGCGTGCTCTGGAAGTCGATTACCGAAACCACACTTTATGGCTGAAATACGCAGAAGTGGAAATGAAGAACAAGTTCATCAACCACGCAAGGAATGTTTGGGACCGTGCGGTCACGCTCCTCCCACGTGTGGATCAGCTCTGGTACAAGTACATCCACATGGAAGAGATGTTAGGGAATGTTGCTGGAGCTCGCCAGATTTTCGAACGCTGGATGTCGTGGATGCCAGACCAGCAAGGTTGGCTTTCCTACATTAAGTTCGAGCTTCGTTACAATGAAGTCGAGCGCGCTTGTGCAATTTATGAACGGTTTGTTCAGTGCCACCCCAAAGTTGGAGCCTGGATTAGATATGCCAAATTCGAGATGAAGAATGGGGAGATTGTACGGGCAAGGAACGTGTACGAACGTGCGGTGGAGAAGCTGGCAGATGAAGAAGATGCAGAACAGTTATTTGTAGCTTTTGCTGAGTTTGAGGAACGATGTAAGGAAACAGAACGTGCTCGCTGTATTTACAAGTTCGCTCTTGATCATATACCCAAAGGGAGGGCAGAGGATTTGTATAGGAAGTTTGTGGCTTTTGAGAAACAATATGGAGATAAGGAAGGCATTGAGGATGCAATTGTAGGGAAGCGGAGATTCCAATATGAAGAAGAAGTGAGAAAGAATCCATTAAATTATGATACGTGGATCGACTATATAAGATTAGAAGAGAGCGTAGGGAATAAAGGGAGGATTAGAGAGGTTTATGAGAGGGCTATTGCTAATGTTCCACCAGCTGAGGAGAAGCGATACTGGCAAAGATATATTTACTTGTGGTGAGTTTTTGTTTGCCTAATGGTGGTATGCTTAATTTAATATTATTGTTCTGAACTAACTGACTTATGGCTCATTTGTAATTTAGGATTAATTATGCTTTATATGAGGAGCTTGATGCTGGGGATATGGAGCGGACACGAGATGTGTACAGGTATATGGCATTTCCTTCAATGGATTTATTGTTCCGTTGGTTGTTACTGTTGCTAAATTGTAGTGAAATCAATGCTTCACCAATAAATCTTGCTAACTAATCACTGCAAGAAATTTGCCAATTTCTGACTATTTGAATGTTTGATTGTCTGTTTCATTAAGCTTCTGGTGAAGTTTTACCTTCTCTCAGGACTTATGCTGATGAAAAGGGAAAAAGATGAGGAAAATCTCAAATTTAATGTGATACCATTTGCAAAGGAACTAACTTGTTGATTACAACTATCTTTATTGCATCTTTTTTCTCTCTCATTGAATGTTGTATTTCTTTGTTCTACCAGCATCTTCATTAGTTCCATGGTTGTCTTTCTATGTTTGAATATGTCTGTTCCTCTCTTCAGGTTTGTATGTGGACAGCTCTTTATATCTGGCGCTATAAGAAATGGCCTTGTTTTGGAAGGAAAGAGGACATTTCAGAATACTCATTGTTTATCTTTGACATAAGCTATTCTATATTTTCTTATGATTTGATGAATTAGCTGGTTTTGGAATAGGTGGTAGGTAGTGGCTTGTTGTTACAAATTTATAGCATACATCAAATTTCATTTTGATTGTTGTCTCGACTCCCTCATCCTCATGCATATACAAAAGATGCACTTTAAAGAATGACTAATGTTTTGGGTATTTTTAGCCTTTAGTTTTGTGTTTGCAATAACGATTGCTCACTACTTTAAATTTTTTGCAGGGAGTGCCTTAAGCTTATTCCCCACGAGAAGTTTTCTTTTGCAAAGATCTGGCTTCTTGCTGCACAATTTGAAATAAGACAACTCAATCTCAAGGGTGCACGACAAATTTTGGGAAATGCCATTGGAAAAGCTCCTAAAGATAAGGTAGGCATCTAACTGTTGCTGGAAGCCTTTAAATTTGATTACTTTAACCTGAAATTTTCTCACTATGTTCTTTTGTTAACATTCAGATCTTTAAGAAGTATATTGAAATTGAGCTGCAACTTGGTAATATTGATCGTTGCCGAAAATTGTATGAGAAGTATCTAGATTGGGCACCTGAGAATTGCTATGCATGGAGCAAATATGCCGAGTTAGAAAGATCATTATCTGAAACAGAGCGGGCAAGAGCTATTTTTGAGCTTGCCATCACACAACCGGCTTTGGACATGCCGGAGTTATTGTGGAAGGTATTTGCGCTATTAACAACTGTTATATATTGTTTATCTGTGTGATTATAGTTACACCAATTTATTGTCGTTTGTACGTTCACGCTGGATAATTTTGTCTTATTACTTCATAGTTGATCCAATAAGTAATTTCATCTCATGAAGGTTCCTGTAGTGAAATGACTCATTATTATTTTTATAATAGTTTCATGTTTGCTAGGATATGGTCTTAATGAGTCATTTCTCCATTTTCCCTCATATTTTCTTTCTTGACTGTTAGATTCCGCTTTTTTAGGAATATCATTTCTGATGATGCTTCTTATTCTTTGATGATAGGCATACATAGATTTTGAGATTTCTGAAGGTGAATATGAACGAACCAGGGGATTGTACGAGAGACTTTTGGATCGTACAAAGCACTTGAAGGTGTGGATTAGTTATGCCAAGTTTGAAGCCTCTGCAATTGAGGAGACTGTTGCGGATTCGGACGTGCCGGAAGATGGGGTTTGGGAACATGAATCAAAGAAGGGATGCGTTCAGCGTGCAAGAAGTGAGTTCAGACCAATCCAATTGCTGCCTGCTATACATCTTTGATTATTTATTAGTAAAATAAATTCTTACCTTCTAATTCTCTTTATTTTTTACGCCAGGAGTCTTTGAAAGAGCAATCAACTACTATAGAACATCGGCACCAGAATTGAAAGAAGAGCGTGCTATGCTCCTGGAAGAGTGGCTTAACATGGAAAGCAGTTTTGGCGAGCTTGGCGACGTTAGTGTTGTCCAGTCCAAGTTACCCAAGAAACTCAAAAAGAGGAAGCAAATTACAAGT